AGTGGCGCTGTGGCTCAAGTGGTAGAGCGCTAGCCTTGAGCTGAAGAGCTGAGGGACAGCGCCCAGGCCCAGAGTTCAGGCCCCACAACCGGACCCAAAAAAAAAAAATTACACTTGGACATGATAAATTAAACAGGACTCTAAACATTCACACAGGGAGGATATTCTTAGGAGAGGATCACAAAGGCTCAGTAGCTATGTGCATATGATCATATAAAATGCTGCTTATCAAAATGAACTCCAAGAAAAGAAATGATGCTTTTGTTATTTCACTTTTTGTTTTTTAGTTGTTTTTTCTCCTTTGTTGCTGTTTTTTTAAAATTTCTGTACCTTTTGTCTTGTATGTAAGATTATCTGTTCGGGAAAGGGTAAGAGGGAGCACAGAAATGGTGGGACAAAGGGTAAATAAATGCAGCAATGATAATCACTAGACAGCTGGGAAGGTGGCTCAGTGGTAGAATGCTTGCCTTGCATGCATGAGGCCCTGGGTTCGATTCCTCAGCACCACATAAACAGAAAATGCTGGAAGTGGATCTATGGCTCAAGTGGTAGAGTGCTAATCTTGAGCTGAAGCGCTGAGGGACAGCGCCCAGGCCCAGAGTTCAGGCCCCATGTCCGACCAAAAAAAGATAATCACTAGACACTATGTTGAAAATAAACTATATAACATGGGGGGGGCAGGGAGTTGGGAGGGAAAAAACTGGGAGAAAATGGCGGGGGGGACACTATTCAAAAAGAAATGTGCTCATTAACTGACATGTAACTGTAACCCCTCTGTACATCACCTTTATATTAAAAGATTAATTAATGTTTTAAAATAGAAAATAACCCAAGCATATGATAATGAAGCATATGATAAGTACACCCCAAATAGTCTTCCTGCAGAAGTATTTTCATACTTATGTTCAGAGATAGGTGCCTTGCTAAAATGACTGCTCTCCTATTTGTTTTTCCACAGCAGAGACATGGTTCCCTTTGAAAATTTTTCTGATTATAACAGTATTATCCAACAAGAAGAAACAGTGAGTATTGAGTAAAACAGAGCTATTATTAGCCTAGCAATATTCCATCATTCCTTAAGTAGATGCCACTATTTTTCTATGTGTGTCTTGTTGAATTTCCACTATGGCCAACCACTGTGCAGGGACAGATTATTTCCCCTTTCCTTGGGAACATCTTGCTTAGCTGCACAATTGCTGCTAACTGTATTTTTTTAGCTATAATGAAAAAGAAAGCCAGTGCATGTAGCTAAAGCCTGTAAACCTAGCTACTCGGGAAGCAGAGATTTGAGAATCATGGTTCAAAACTAGCCAGGGCAGGAAAGTTGAAGTGACTCATCTCCAACACCCAAAAGCTGGAAGTAGAGCTATATAGCTCAAGTAAGTAGAGCATTAGCCTTGAGTAAAACAACTCAGGGACAGTGCCCGGGTCCTGAGTCCAAGACCTGGGTCTGGCACATACATAAAAAAAGATGTGCAGCAAATCAGCCAATGACAAATGCTGGAGGGGATGTGGAGAAAGAGGAACCCTATTACACTGCTGGTGGGAATGTACACTTATACAACCACTTTGGAAAGCAGCCTGGAGGGTCCTTAGAAAGCTAAAGATTGACCTCCCTTACGACCCAGTCATACCACTTCTAGGCATCTACCCTGAACAACAGGAACCAATATACAAGGACACGTGCACCTCCATGTTTATTGCAGCACTGTTCACAATAGCTAGGATATGGAAACATCCTAGATGCCCCATCACAGATAAATGGATCCAAAAATTGTGGTATCTATACACAATGGAATATTATGCGGCCATTAGAAATGACAAAATAATGGCATTTGCAGGAAAATGGATGGAGCTAGAAGGAATCATGTTGAGCCAGGTAAGCCAAGAACGAAGAGACAAACTGTACATGGTCTCCCTGATAAGTGGATGCTAAATCCAAAATGTTAGGTGATACGACAAAACTAACAGGACTTAAGAAACAAAGAACCACTCATCTGGTCGAACCACTACTAAATATTCCCATGCTGCTGATCACATGTATGGTATATATGTGTACACCATTATATGTTATAGACCGTGATAGACAGTTTGCTCCAGGAAAGTTAGAATGAACTTGTGACTTTAAATGAGCATCATTATTCCACAATACTGTGAAATTTGGGAAATTATGTAATCACTTAATCACAATTTAAAAAAAAAGAACCTGGGGAAGGTAGGGAGGGAAGGGATGGTAGGGGGAAAACAATAGAGGGGGTAACAATGCTCAATAGGAAGTGTACTCATTACCTTGCTCATGTAACTGTAACCCTCTGTATAGTATCTTTACAATAAAAAATTTTTTTAAAGTGCAAAAAAAAAAGATGTGCAGGTTGTTAGCAATAAATTTGCCTAAAAGTGTCTCTATATTACAATATATTACCCACGTATAGTAAGAGTAATATAAGTGTAATCTCTTATATGTTTATTATATATGTTGTACTACTCTTAGAATTAGGATACTAGGGTGATTAATAGCTAATCTATGGATTTTACTTTACTGACCAAGACAGTATGACAGTACTGAGACACTGCCTTAGTTCAGGATTCTATGACAAATATTATAACAAAATGCTATATGACCAATTACTATAAGCTTACATAACAGATTTGTTCCTCATGGCTCTGGGGGCTGGAGCTCAAGGCCAGGAAGTCAGCCTGGCCAGGTTCTGGTGAGATCCTCTTCTGGGTGGCAGATGGCTAACCTGGTGTTGTGTCCTTAGGTAGCAGCATGTGGACTGGCTCCTAGCTTCCTCTGGTCTCTGCTGCCCCTTTACAAGGGCACTGATCCCACTCACAAGGACTCCACCCTCCTGACCTTTTACAGATACCATCGTGCCAGGATTGATGGATGATTTGAGAAATACAGAAGCAGTGGGGAGGCTGTGGTGGGCCAGCCATTAGTGAGAACTTGACAGAAGAGGCAGCCTGAATTCATTTCCTCCTACTGCTATAACAATTAGTACAAATTCAATGGCTTAAAATAACACAAACTGCTGGGCACCAGTGGCTCCTGACTGTAATTCTAGCTACTCAGGAGGCTAAGATCGAGGACTGAGGCTGAAGCCAACCTTGACCAGCAAAAAGCTTGAAGTGGAGATATGGCTCAATTGGTAAAGCACCAGTTTTGAGCAAAAAAAGCTAAGCAAAAGTACAAGGCCTTGAGTTCAAGCACACATACAGGCACATGCGTATGCGCATGCACACGCACACACACACACACACACACACATACAAATGCAAATTGATTTCTGGCAGTTCTGTGAGCTCTGAGTCCCACATCAGTTCTTGAAGTTCAAGGTGTCTTCAGGCTGTAGAGGTGAGTCTATTCTTGCTCTTCCCAGCTTCTAGAAGCCACTCACACTCTTTGGCTCTTGGCATCCATTTTCAAAGCCAGCAAATGCAGAGGGAGTCCTTTTTATGTTGCCTTCCTTCTGGTTCTCTGTGGCTGAGAAAGATCACATGCTTTTCATGACCTCTGTCTCTCTATCCCAAGGGCCTTAACTCACTCCCTTCTTCAAAGTCCCTTAGGCCATGTAAGATAACATAGTTCCAGGCTGGAAGGATTCCTTGGTAGATGCCTTTGGGGGACATTAATCTGCCTGTTGTACTGTCCTTGAGATGATCCTGGAAGGCACCACTGGGCTTCTTTCATCTGGGGTGGGGGTGTAACTTCTGTTCAAGCCCAGATGATACTGTGGAGGCTGGGCGGAGCCAGGTGTGAGGAAGTGGGAAGCTTCAGACTCTTGAGGGGAGAGAAGAGGTTGAGGTGCAGATGGTGGAGGGTTATTGACACCAGACTGAGGAGTTTGGATTTCAGCCAAAAGAACTGTTGGACACCATCAAGGTATTTTGCAAAGGACAATGGCTGGGTATATTTGCTTTAGGGGATATAATTCTAGAAGCACTGTGTTGTAGGAGAGAGAGAGGAGGGAAAAAAAAGAAAGAAAATAAAAACAGGACATCCAGGATAATGGATGGAGTAACACTGGAGAGACAGATGGTAGCTAGAGGAGCTGAGACTGTAGGAAGCTGTCTCCCAAGCTATCCTCAGGAGCTGATATATAATGTCTTGTGCTAGTCAGGATTTGAGTTATTTTTTAACTGTATCAAAATGGTTACCATAAGCCGAATGCTGGTGGCTTATGAATCTGCTACTCAAGAGGCTGAGATCTGAGGATTGGGTTCAAAGCCAGTCCAAACATCCATGCATCTCTTATCTCCAATTAACCACCAGAAAACTGGAAGTGGAGCTGTGGCTCCAAGTAGTTGAGTACTAAACTTGAGCAGAAAAGCTCAGGGGTAGCACCTAGGCCCTGAGTTCAAGCCCCAGCACCAACCAAAAACAAACAAACAAACAAAAAAAGTTCATAAGGAGGAAAGGCTTGTTTGGGATCACCATTTGAGAGGATTTAGTCCATGATCCATTTATTTTGTTGCTTTGGTGCCTGTGATTGAGCCATATAGCATGGTGGGGAGTGTGTGGTGGAGCATGTTCACTTTATAACTGCAACATGAAAAAAGAGAGAGGAAGAGGAAGAGACCAGTGTCCTCTCCTTGGTAGTATGGCCTCCACTGACCTAAAGATCTCCCACTGAGCTCCTCCTCTTCAAATTCTACCACTCCCAACCATGCCACAGATGGGGAATCAAGCCTTTAATAGCTGGGTTTTGGGTTCCGGTCGTGGGGCCTGAATTCTGGGCCTGGGTGCTGTCCCTCAGCTCTTCAGCTCAAGGCTAGCACTCTACCACTTGAGCCACAGCGCCACTTCCGGCTTTTTTTTTCTTTTTGCTTATGTGGTGCTGAGGAATCAAACCCAGGGCCTTGAGCATGCAAGGCAAGCACTCTACCACTGAGCCACCTTCCCAGCCCCAATAGCTGGGTTTTGTAAGACATTAACACCCAATCTATAGCACACAAGCTCACTAACGATTGAATAAATGATCATTTTTTTAAAAAATACATTTTTTGACCTATTGACCCAAACTCCAGTATCCCTGGAACCTCTAAACAGAATTTCTCACTTCTTTCTTTGCCCCTTTGCTGAATTATTTCTCTAGCACAGGAAGCACTCCAGTTGCTTCCAGAATATCCTCTCCTGCTGAGCACCTCCTGCAGGAACGCTGTACCATCTGACTATTTGTGTCCTTAAGAAACTATTGAAACATGAAGAGACATGGCTTTGGGAACACAGAGCAGCAGGCAGAGAGCACTGATAACCAGGAGTCATGGTAGTACCTACCCTCCACTTCCCCAGATGGCAGCAGTGGGGTTGGTAGTTTATGACAGAAGCACTTAAGGACAGGCCAGTGAACTCTGGGGAACAAGCCCCTCCTTCCTGATGATCAGCCCATGTGTAGTCTGCACCCTGTGCCAGAGAGAAGAACCATCACCAGACAACACCCAATGAAGCCAGTGTGCCACACTGTCTTTAAAGATGGCACAGGTGGCATCCTTGTCAAGAGCCCTTGAACCGTCCATGCGCTATGCTTCTACCCAAGTGTGTATGTAGACTGGACATCCCTGCTTTACTCCAAAATTAGCCCCTGGAGGGGTTTCAGTGTGCCATTGCTATGATACTATGTGTCATGTGCATTTTTCCAGTTGCTTGCAACACACTCTCAGTGGGGTTCAGGACCCTAAAGTGTTCAGAAGTATAGATTGGTGGGCATGATCCCCAGGACCCCTGAGTCTCAGTGTGATACAGTTGATCATAAGAGGCCATTGTAAGACTGGTATGGGGTATAGTGCGGTGGTGACCAACAGGGCTCTTTTCCCCAAGGGCAGTGAGCACAGCTGTGAGAGCAGCTGCCCTGCCCTCTAGAGTCCTGCAGACAGGACACATGGAAACCCAAAAGCAGAGCGCATCTAGGAAAGAGTAGCTAAGTTTCACTGAGTGCGTGAGAATTGGGAAAGCCAGGGATGTGGTTCTTACCTTGGAACTGTCAGAAGAGTTCTCACATCAGAACAGAGCAGACCATCTCGTTGTAGAACCAGCAGTCACACTTCATTATGGTGGGCTTTGCATCTCAATGTCCAATTTGGAGGAATTATTTCATACCACTCTATTGTAAAAGCAACTATTCCATAGCCCAGGAATATACCAAAGAAATCATTCGTTCTTATTTCCCTGTGTGTGTGTGTGTGTGTGTGTGTGTGTGTGTGTACATGTACACTGATACTAAGTGGACTTGAACTTAGGGCCTGGGTGCTGTCCTTGAGCTATCTCCCTCAAGGCTAGCTCTCTACCACTTGAGCCACAGTTCCACTTCAGCTTAATGCTGGTTAATTTGAAATAAGAATCCCCTGTATTTTTCTGTTCAAGATTCTCAGCCTCCTAAGTAGCTAGGATTACAGGTGCAAGACTCGGGTGCCTGGATAAATCATTTCAAGTCAAACTGATGTCCTTTCTTCAAATCACGAGCTGCCCTGCCTCCCCCTTGCTCAGCGGACACTAGGAGGATGCACAGGAAGGAATGTTGTGTGTGTGTTCTCTGCAGAATCTCTTTTTCCTTCCTTGTCATCCTGTAATTTGTTTCTGTAAAGGAAAACATGTCCCCCTTGTTTTCCTTGCTAGCTATGTCCCTGGAGTTTCTGAAATAACCAACCATCTTTATATCAATGCGTGATGATCCCAATAGGATACAGTTTTATTTTAAGGGGCAACAATCGTATGGATAATGTACAAATATATCTGGGACATTAGGTTAGCCATAGATAATATTTTAGACATTGCTATATATCACTTGATCCCAATGTGTGACTCCTAGAGTGATATGTTTGGGTACTATATTAAACCCTGTCTCTCTCTTGTAGCCATAGCTTATAGAATTATACAAAAGGTTAGCATCCTTTGGAATGGAATGAGGGAACGCTTCAAGAACCAATAACACCTTCAGAACTGTGGTTAAAAGAAAATGCTCTTTTAACTTATAGTAGCCACATGGTTATGGCTTAGTTTAGAAAATGCAGTTTAAGTAAGTAATAATTAATTGAGTAATAAATAATTAAGTAAGTAATAATCATCCATTGTGTAAATGATTTCTAGTGTGAAAATCATATTCCAATAAAGACAAGTCCAGTTGAGCCTCCTCAGCTGGAATTCAGAAGATGTCCGTTTTGGGAACAAGAACTGGCAAAGAAATACTCCTATACAGTGGTAGGCGCGTCCCTCAGAGGCAGGGTGGGGTGGGGGAACAGCTCTCCTGTCCCTTGCTGGGTGTATACACAGCAGGCTTGTTTTGCCCGTGGTCATTTTGAGTCTCCTGGGGGTAATATTTGCATCTTCTCAGAGCTGCAAGAGCCATGGTTCCTTCTGGAACTTGGTGAATATCAGGAACTTCAGGTCTGCTCCACATCTCTGGTGTGGATTTTCTAGAAACTGGGACTGGGAAATAAATAATAGTGAGGTGAATTAGGTTGAGGAAGATAGGTATCAAAAGTTGATGGCCTTGGTAAGTTTACAAGTTAAGACATCAAAATTAGAGCCACATGAACTATACATCAATGTGGTGTGCCTTCCTGAGTGGAACTAAAACCCAACGAGGCCCAAGTAAAGAGCCTACCTACTGTTATATCAAAATTGCCAAGAGCTAGTGGCTCATGCTTATAATCCTAACTACTCAAGGCCCTGAGATCTGGGGACTGCAGTCAAAGCCAACCTAGGCATGAGACTCTTTTTTTTTTCCCTGTGGGTTGGGAGGCTTGAACTCTGGGCTTGGGTGCTGTCCCTATGCTCTTCAGCTCAAGGCAAGCGCTCTACTGCTTGAGCAACCGTGGCACTTCCAGTTTTCTAGTGGTTTATTGGAGATGAGAGTCTCATGGACTTTCCTGCCAGGGCTGGCATTGAACTATGATCCTCAGATCTCAGCCTCCTGAGTAGCTAGGATTATAGGCATGAGCCACTGGTGCCCAGCCCATGAGACTCTTATCTCCAGTTAACTAGCAAAAAAAGCTGGAAGTAGATTGTGGCTCAAGTGGTAGAATGCCAGCACTGAGCAAAAAGGCCAGAGGAAAATGTAAGGCCCTGAGTTTAAACCCCAATACCAGCACAAAAATTAAATAAAATAGCCAGTGGGTCACACCTGTAATCCTAGCAACTCAGGAGGCTGAGATCTGGGGATTATGGTTCAAAGCCAGCCTGGGCAGGAAAGTCCATGAGACTTTTATCTCCAATTAACTACCAAAAAAGCTGGAAGTGGAGCTATGGCTCTAGTGGTAGAATGCTAGCCTTGAGTGAAAAAGTTCAAGAACAGATTCCAGACCCTTAGTTCAAGCCCCAGGACTGGCACAAATAATAAAATAATTGTAGAAAAATTGCAACACAAATTGTCTCTGATAGCTTGTAGCAAGGTCTTAGAGGATGAATACATTCTTGGTCGTTGCTAAAAGCAGACCTAATTTCCCATATCTTTCGTAGATGCTCTTGCTTGCGGATGAGTATTGTAACTACTGTCAAGACATCTTGCACAATGTGAGGAATCAAGAACTGGAGAGGGTAGGTTTCCATCTACAGATCACAAGCCTCTGTGACTGATTACTCACCATCACACTGGGTTAAACCCCTTTAAGGGACATGTTAATCCATTGCATAGAAGTGCAACTATATGGTAGTTAGCAAGTTCTTTGAGGTGGTGTTGATACTCAATTTAATCACTTGCAAAGTCTCCAATGTACTAATATGGTTGACCTGATATTTTAAATACAAATTTGGCCCATTTGTTTTACACCCTACTTCCAGCTGAGTTTGCATAGCTTGTGGGTAGTAATATTCATTTCAGGATTTCATTGTTGCCAAAGAGGCGTTTTATACATGTGCACCAAGTGAGACAGAATCAAGGCTTTGAGGCAGCTGGTCTGACACATGCAGGGGGGGGGGTGGTTCTGCCCTGCAGCGGGCTGGGAGCACTGTGGGTAATGGGGATTCTAACAGAGCTGAGCCTGTGGTTGCTGTCCCTGCTCCTATCCATCACCCACCTGTAAGTAAGAGAATGAATATGCCCTGTGTTGTATTTTTGGAGAAATCTGGAATGAATATCCCAGCACAGAAACACAGACCAGGGGCTTTCACAAGACTCAGGAGTTGATATAACTTCCTCATTATGCTAAGCACAGGATCAGCCCTGGCCTAGCACCACTGGTGGGTCTGGTGATGCTTGCAGAAGTCCCCAAAAGACTGCAGTCTATTCACTGGTATCTCAGATTGACCACTTGGTTCAAGATCACAGTCTGGCAGAAAACAAAGGAAGGAAAGGAAGGAAGCAGCTACTTGGCTCTCTGCCAAGGCATACACTGGCCTCTCACCTGAACATCACAGTGTCACCCCCCCCCCCGCCCCGTTTGGTTCTACAGTCCTAAGGGCTTTCAACCTGATGTCCAGTGGAGGGCATGACATGAAATGCAGTTATACCTCTTCCTGAGGTGTCCTATGTTCAAGGTGGTCAGACAGTCAGTCAATGAACATTCACTCTCAACTCTTGAGTAGGCCCCTGTGGGCTAATTTTTATCCTTATTATAATCAACTAGAGCCCCCCTGTGGTCAGAAATAGAAAATGGCCTGAAGAAAATATGTTCTATGCTCTCTCATGGGACTAACTGGCAGGTGGGCTTTGATGAGTTATTAGAAAGAATTGATGTTCAAAGCCAGCCCAGGCATGAAAGTCCATGAGACTCACATGAATCACACAACCGTTTAAATGGTAGAGTGGCAGCCTTGTATGAAAAACTAAGGGGGCTGGGAATGTGGCTTAGTGATAGAGTGCTTACCTGGCATGCATGAAGCCCTGGGATCGATTCCTCAGTACCACATAAACAGAAGAAGCCAGAAGTGGTGCTGTGGCTCAAGTGTTAGAGTGCTAGCCTTGAGCAAAAGAAGTTAGAGACAGTGCTCAGGTCCTGAGTTCAAGCCCCAGGACTGGAAAAAAATTATAAAAAAAGGAAAGAAAAGAAAAAGCTAAGGAACAATGTCCAGGCCCTGGATTTAAGCCCCTGTACTGACACAGAAAGAATGGAAGAAGAAAGAAAGACAGACAGAAAGACAGGAAGGAAGGAAGGAAGGCAGGCAGGCACAGGTGGGTTCATGCCTGTAATTCTGGCTACTCAGGAGGCTGAGATCTGAGGATCACAATTAAATGACAGCCCATGCAGGAAAGTCCATGAGACTCTTACCTACAGTTAGCCACCAAAAATCGGAAGGGGTAGAGCACTAGCTTTGAAAAAAAAAAAAGTTCAAAGACAGCACCCAGACCCTGAATTTAAGCCTAAGGGCTGGCATAAAAGGAAGGAATGGAGGGAGGGGGGAGATAGGGATGGAGGGAGGAAGACAAGGAAGGAGGGAGGGAGGATATTTTACTTACCTTGGAAAAGCTAAAACAACTTCTTATTTTTCCCATTAGTCTTTGGGAGAATAAGAAATTGATCCATTGGGCTGGGAATTGGCTTAGTGGTAGAGTGCTTGCCTAGCATGCACAAGGCCCTGGGTTCTATTCTTTGGTACCACATAAACAAAATAAAATTTTTTTAATAAATTGATCCATTATCCTTTGGGACTAATGAAGTCAATATGGGGAAGTGGTCTTACAAGATACAAAGTGAGCCTCAGGTGTTGTATTCTTTGGCATTAGGTGGAGAGCTTGCTTACATCCTTCTGGAAATCTCTGCGGCCAGACACAATCATGCTGATGACACTGCCTGATGTGCGCCAGCTCTTGAGATGTTATGATGTGCAGTTGTACAAGGTAGGAAGAGGTATAAGACACTGCCTTGTATCCTTGGTGGAAAGTGGTAGGTGTGTTTGTGTTAGAACTGTAGCCCCCACCCCTGCAGTGCAGAGCCTCTTCATTTCTGCCTACCTCAGAATTTCCTCCTGTAAAGAAAAAGCCAAGCTGGGTGCTGAGGGCTCACGCCTGTAATTCTGGCTACAGGAGATCTGAGGATCTCAGTTTGGAGCTAGCCCAGGCAGAAAGGTCCATGATACTCTAATCACCAATTATCCACTCAAAAACTGGAAGTGGAGCTGTGTTTCAAAGTGGTAGAGCACTAGCCTCTAGAGAGAGAGGGCAGGGATAGCAACCGGGCCCTGAATTCAAGCCCCATGACTGACAAAGAAAAGGGAAAAGAAAAAGCCAAGGCAGGTGTGGTGGCTCACACCTGTAATAGCTCACCTTAGTATTCTCAAAGTTGAGATCAAGAGGATTCTATTTAGAGGCCAAACCAGTTAAAAGGTTTGTAAGACACTTTCTCCACCAAGACCTGGACATCTTGGCACATGCCTGTCAACCCAGCATAAAATAGAAGACCCACCATTCAGGTGCATGCCCAGGAAAAAAGTGAGACCCTATGCCAAAAATAACCAGTAAAAAACAAGGGATAGAAGAGTAGCTCAGCCATAGAACACCTGACTAAAGAGCATGAGGCCCTGAGTTCAAACCTTAGGACCACCAAAATGACATCACTTCCAAGCACCAGATTTCAGGCTGACCCAGAACTGTGATCCTCCAGATTACCAATGTGAGCTACTGCACCTGGCTAGTGCTTCTAAGTTTTTAACACAGCAGTGGAAAATGAGGGTAGGGTCTGTGCTGAAATGTCTGGCTTGATCCACCTAGTATTGGCCAGCATGGAGTTGTTTTCTAATTAGATCATGGAATTGAGATATACCCTGCAGTGGTAGAGTGTCAGGCCCAGCACTTCACCCCAAAAGAATCAGTTATCAATACTCCAACTGAAATAAGTTCTGGCCACAGCAACCTGACTTGGCATCCTGTCCAGGAGGTAATGGCCACCCCCTCAGGTAGGGTGGGTTGGTCCCTGAGAGCCTCTCATGATCTGCCTGTTTCTAGGGGTCCAGGTGAGTTCGGTCCCTGGTAAAGGCCTCTGCACTGGAGGAAGCCACAAGGTTTTTTGTTTTGTTTTGTTGGGGTGGTTGTTTTTTTTCAGTCGTGGGGCTTGAACTCTGGGCTTAGGTGCTCTCCCTGCGCTCTCCAGCTCAAGGCAAGTGCTCTACCACTTGAGCCACAGGCGCCACTTCCAGTGTTCTAGTGATTTATTGGAGATAAGAGTCTCACAGACTTTCCTGCTTGGGCTGGCTTTGAGCCTCAGTCCTCAGCTCTCAGCCTCCTGAGTAGCTAGGATTATAAGCATGAGCCACCGACACCCAGCAGTCACAAAGTTTTGACACTATCATTGCAGGGAATTGAAAACATTCTCCTTCATGACTTTCTGGAAGATGTTTCTATTCAGTACCTGAAATCTGTGCGGTTATTTAGTAAGAAATTAAAGCTATGGCTTCTCGATGCGTTGCAAGGATTTCCAGCCCTCTTACAGATCTGCAAACTCAAAGGTAGGCATCCAAGTAAAACAAAAGCAAATTCAGTAAGGTGAAGAATAGCAGTGGCAGTTAGCTGTGTTGTATAGATGATGATCCTTTTGCCTCTTGTGCACAAAACCAGCCTGGAAGTCAGGGTTCTGACTTTCCTGTCATACTGTGGTGACTCCTGGTCCCTGAATGACCTTCTACCTGGTCTCCAATGAGTAACCCATGATGTTTGGGCTGGTTCCTGGGGTTGGAGATAAGGGAGAGGGGCTATGGTAGAGAAGAGCCACAAAGGCCCCAGCCTTCATCATCCCAGGCCAGAGCTTAATCATGTGGGTACCACTAGCTCCTGAATCCTCTCCACCTCTTGCTGGAAACAAAGAATGTGGCTTCCTCCCCAGAATTCTCCACCCTTACCTTCCTTGTCACCTTGGGGGCCACCGCTGCTGCTCTGCCTTGGCGTCTTACAACCTCTCACACCTGAGATCATTTGTCTCCTGTTGACGTTTTAGAAAGCTCTTGATCTCCTTCTGGCTTCTTTCTGAATACAGGGATGAGTACCATTAGTCAGAAAACCTGAAATCTGAAAAGCACCCAGATGCAAAACTCTCTGAGTGCCTACATAATGGAGAAGTAGAAAATTCCACCCTGACCTCACATGAGCGATCGATCACAGTGGACATGAAGATTTATAAAACAATAAAAATAAAATAAATTTAAAAGCAGCAAAAAATGATCTTCAGGTCAGGTGCCAGTGGTTCACTCTTGTAATCTTAGCCATTCAAGAGTCTGAGATGCAGAGGATTGAGGTTCCAGGCTAGCCTCTGCAGAAAAGTCCAAGAGATTCCATCTCCCACATGTCTAGCAAAAAGTTTGGCTGGAGGCTTGGCTCAAGTAGTAGAGCACCAGCCATGAGCAAAGCCAGAGTCTAAGGTGTACATAAAACATACATGAACTTCATATTTATTCCTGGATTACATCCTCAACATATCCCAGGATGTATGTGCAAATATTCCAAAATCTGAAGATACTAGAATCTGAAACATGCTTGGTACCAAGCCTCTTGGAAAAGGAAAAACACCTGTTCAGCTCCCACAAGGCCACCTCTCTATTCCCCCATAGGCCTGTCCCTCTTCACTCCATAGCCCTTCAAGTACAGCTGATGAGAAGTACCCTCTTTCTCCTTGGCGCCTTTCCTCGACACTGCCTGTGGTCTTTCCCACTGCCTGCTCGCTCTTCTTAGGCTAGTTCTGGCTGACCCTCTCCTCACATTTCTGAGCCCCACTTTCTTTGCCATTGTTTCCTAAGGTCCTGTCTTTTGGGAGTGTGTACAGAATGGGATCCTGGGTCATTTCCCTCAACACACTTCACGCACGAGGGAAGTCTGGGCCTTTGTCCTCTATCACAGTGGAGGAAAAGCAAGAGAGACAAGAGGCTGAGCAGAAGCCCTGTCCTGTCTTCCCATGTCTTCTCACACCTAGTTGAGGCCCTCCCTCCCCCCTTCCCTCCCTCCCTTTTTCTCTTCCTCTCTTCCCCTCTCCCTCTCCCTCTCTCTTACCTCCTACTTAATTATCTTGCCTCCAGTCTCCCAAGCCCCTCAGCCATATTCCCCTCCTTTCCTAGTGGTTATCCTAAAAGTATAATTTGATCATGGCCCTATGCCCAACTGAGCTGATCTACTCTCATTTTCAGTCAAACTTTCTTACTGTTTATCCTCTGCCTCCATCTCCCTAGGCATCCTCATTACCCAGGAGGGCTCCCCAACACCAACACCCAAACCAGCAGTCCCCCAAAAGGTCCTTGTTCTGTTACTCTTTGTACTGTTCTGCTTCTCCCTTCTCCCATTTTCTTGAATAATTCCTATCAAGACCCAGATTAAATATCACCACCTCAGTGAAGCCTTCCCTGATGGATACCTTCTAAAACCAGGAAAATCTCCTTTTCTTAGAACCCTACTTCTTCCTCCCCGCCATGCTCCCATGTTTCAAGGGGAGCCTTTTGGTTAGGAAAACCCATCTTCCAAATGCTGAAGGTATTGAAGATAGTAGCTATCCTTTAATCATCAAATCAGTGAACATTTATTGAACAAACACCACGTGAGAGTCCTAATAAAAGAATGCATTCAAGAGGAATGGCCCTGCCTCTTGATGGTTTCTCTTTTTACCCTTTCCTTTGATCATTTTCTGAAGAGATGGGCAAATTCTTAATCTCCTGGCAGCCCCAGGTTTTTTTTTTATCTTAGGGTGCTATAACAAAAGTACCACGTGCTAGCTATCTTATAAACAAGACACTTGCTTCTCACAGTTCTGGAGACTGAAACTCAACATCAAGGCCCTGGCTGCTTCCAAGTGCATGGATAGCTGTCTTTATGCTTTGCCCTCACATAGTGGAGAAGACAAGAGAGCACTAATCCCTGCAGGAGGGACCCACTCTCATGACCTAATTACCCCACCAAGGCCTCACCTCCTAAGGTCATCATTGCTCGATGCCTGGCAGGAGTGAGGGAGACACAAACTTTGTTGGTACAGGGGTTGCACTCTTCCTGGCACATGGGGATACATAAGTGGCTACTGGAAAAAATGCCATCCCCGTGGGAGGGAGCCAGCAGAGGGGAAGATGGAGGCAGAACTCAGGTAGTGTGAGTCCTGCTCAGCCTGTACTTCTCTCCTCCCTCCTTTCCTCTCTCTTCCTCTTCCCCTCTATGCTATGGAGGATCCCATGCACCTGACATCAATAATGGCCCTGTATGTTCTTAACAGAAGTCACTGTGTTTGTGAAAAGACTACGAAGAAAGACCTACCTGTCCAACATGGCCAAGGTAGGTTGAAAGAAAGAAGTTTGCTAGAGTGTAGAGTAAAAGCCACAGGTCTCCCTGAGAGCAGTGGTTGCTACCTGAAGGTAGCTGTTTCTACCGTGCATGGCAGAGAGCAGGCAGGAAGGCAATATAGACACTGGCACTTAGGAGCCCCATGATGCTCAGTGAGAAACCTACCCCTTTTCCCTGAATGTAAAGGCTCCAACTTCCTTGGCTCTCTTTGCACAGGAGAGGAAACTAGTCTCTCCTACTTTTAAAGATGCAGGAGGAATCTTATGAGGCCATGGGCTAACCTGGGCCAGCCAGTGTCAGAGGTGAAAGACCCGCAGAAGACCTAGGAAAGAGAGAAGCACTCTTCCCCCCACACCCCCAAATGTGACCCTGTGGATTCACTGAACTTGGGCTGCCAAGTTTTCTCAGCTCTGACCTTCTCATGCCTTAGTGCTAAGGAGTAGGTAGAGAAGAGCCAGAGATGGGTTCGAAGGGCCCTGCACCCTTATAGCTAGTCCATCTTGGGTTTAAAATATTCAAAGGCCTATGATAAACTGGGCACTGGTGGTTTACACCTTGCAATCTTAGCTACTGATGAGGCTGAGACCTGGAGAATTGGGATTCAAAGCCAACCCAGACAGACAAGTCTGAGAGATTTCACCTCCAATTAACTAGCAAAAAAAAAGGTTAGGTTGGTGGCATGGCTCAAGTAATAGAGCACTAGCTATGAGCTAGGAAGTCGAATGAGAGCATTAGCCCCTGGGACTCCCCACCCCCCGCATATATAAAGGCCTGTCAAAGTTGTGTCTCTTCTGAGCATGTGCAGACATTTTCCTGATAATATTGTATAACTATACATATAGCGCTTACATTGTATTAGGTGTTAGAAGTCATCTAAGTATGTTTTAAAGTATATGGAAGGATGCACAGCCTATATACAAGTACTTGTTGAGTACAGGAGGGGGGAGGCAAACAGGAAGATTCCATGTAAAATAGTATGCATGATTCAGAGTTCACAAGATAATATACAAGTTCCTGGGTTTGTTTTTTCCTCCACAACAGCAAAACCTTGGTCATGCGGAGGGAGGCTTGGTGAACGTAAAATGTCACAATCTAATGAAGGTTTTTGCCTTCTCTTTAGACCATGAGTATGGTGTTGAAAAATAACAGAAGGATCAGGATCTTGAAGTCAGATCTGTACACTGTCATCAGTCAAGGTGCTTTGGATATTTCTAAGAAAGTCCTGGCAGATGACCAGAATGATGTGGGAGACCTGGAGAGCTACACAGAGATGAAATGTAACCTTCTTGTAGAGTGTGCTTTATGGGAGTGTTGAGTGATTTTTAATTTTGAGCTCGTGTGTTGATGTACATGTTCTTTCATATGTTTTCCTGAAGGGGGCACTAGACATTCTAGGGAACACCCTGTGGCTGTGTATTTCCATGCCATCCCAAGTGTTAGAGTGGGCATTAGGGCCAATATACATTTGCTGAGCAAATACATAGGCAGGTGAGTGTTCAGTACTGAGTGTTCAGCATGGTTCAAAGTGTCTCGTCCAACATGACCAAATTAGAATGTGTCAGCTCCACTCCTTCATTGTAACCTCTGTTAGCAGCATCAAGTATCATTTTCTTTTCTTTTTCTTTCTTTCTTCTTCTTTTTATTTTTTGTCGGTCATGGGGCTTGAACACTGGGCCTGGGTGCTGTCCCTCAGCTCTTCAGCTTAAGGCTAGCGCTCTATCACTTGCGCCATAGCTCCACTTCTGACTTTTTCTGCTTATGTGGTGCTGAGGAATTGAACCCAGGGCCTCATGCATGGAAGGCAAGCATTCTACCACTAAGCCACCTTCCCAGACCTCATTTTCAACAACATATAGCCTAGCCATGGGGCTTTTTACCACTTTGCACTACTTTAAAAGCAAGCCTGGTAAAGCACATGGACATTCTTGTCATTTCCTATCTGATGATGATATTTATTGTGCAAGAAAATCCCTTCTATAAAGAGCTTGCATTACTGGGTGACACAATGCTGTCAGCCAGTGTGTTGTTTCTCATATACTGGTACAAGAGTGGTGCTAGGAACTCTTCAGATTCAGGTGTGTTTGGGGCAGAGGGGAGGGGGTGTCCTGAGACATAGAAGCTGTAAATGGTTCTGACTCCTCCCCATATTTTGTTATTATGGACCAAGCTCAAGGCTCTCTGAAGACAATTATAGGAAGTGTTGGGTGTTAGTCTCTCTATTTGTGTCTGCCAACTACTCCCCGCCAGGATACCTAGTAGCTTCTCTCTCCATGAGTGTAACCCTTTTCCAGCCCATTCCATGTGTGCAATGCTGCCTGCCCAGTCCCTGTGAGCTCCTTTAGCATGTCTGCTGTGTTCATTTTGAGCCACCCAGCACATGAGTCTTTCATAACCAGATGCATTCTGTGTGGGCACAGCATCACACAGAAGCGTCACCCTAGCATAACTCCATTCTCTTCTATCATGAAGCAGGGTTGACTATGGTAACAGTGTATCAGTGATTCAAAATACTAAAGCTAGATTCCCATGGCTTGTAATCATGGACAGTCAGGAGATTGAAATCCAAAACTAGCCCAGGGAGCCTATAAGACTCTATCCCCAGCAAAAAGCAGAGCTGGAACCACGGTGCAAGTGATAGTATGCCAACAGAGTAGAAAAGTGTGAGGGAGCTCAAGGGCCTGAGTTCAAACCCCAATACTATCAGAAAAAAACTACTGAACTAAATCTGTACTTTTGGGTTCCCTACCAACTACCTTTCAATTTACATGCTTTGTTTATGTCTCCTGCCTCAATTTAGGTCCACCCTTATAGTGCTCCTCTTCCTTCCATCTCTGAAACAAAAGATAACACTAACCCAACAGGCTTCAGAGCTCCAGGAAGCAGTTTTGAGTCACAGATGCCCAGAAGATGCCCTTTCCAGGGCACTGGCTCCCCCAGAAATCCTAGGATGCTCCCAAATTGTCAAGACGTCCCCCCAGACTGCTCAGAGACCGGCAGCCTGTGTCTCTCAGAGATGACACAGAATCCAGCCGGGAGGGCACACATAGATAACAGTCACTGCTAGCACCAGGCACACACCTGCCAACAAGGTCCAGTGAACCTTGCTGGAGCCACCGCTGCCTACTGCTTTTCTGAACTGTTTGATTTGCAGGGGCACTTAGAAAGGTAGGAATGCCAAAGGCATTCTGCTCTTGCTCCATGCTACCTATGCAGGTGGAGGACCCTAGACCTGACGTCACCCACAATGACTGGGCTCCACCTGGCTTGGGTGTACAACCCCAGGCAAGGGGCCCTTACTGCTTTGATGTCCCGATCACTCCATGGCATTAATAAACCAGCCCTTTTGTGAAAAAATGTCAAGGATAGGTGAAGTCACGTCTGAGTTTTGCAATGAGCTCATCTGAAGACAAGATCTGTGTAATTACAAGGTGGACTTAGGTTTCAAACCATTTCTTCCCATTTCAACAAGTGGCAGAGGCATGACCAAATGACTCAAAGCTCGATGACTGCAGAGTGACACATGCAGTCTGACAGCTCGTCTCTTGTCTCCAAATGAGTGGGAGGCTCTGAAGAACCCTTTGAACTATTGTGCGGGTGTCACCCCGAGGTTATGCAGGACAGGGGTTTCTCTGCAGAAATTCTGCAAGGGTGCGCACAATCTGCTTTTCTTTGTTTGTTTTTTTGTCTGTAGGTTTGAACTGTTTAATTTCTTTGCTGGGAACATCGACAGACCTCAGTGTGTTCCTGAATTGTGTGTCTTCAAGTCTCCAGACATTTGTCTTCCAGGTATAAAACTGTGGTGTGTTTAGTTCGGATTTTTTTTAACAAGAAAAAATAAGTAGATGTCTATCATTCCAAATTATAGTTCTTAATAATAGCCTCAGGTGTCTATGACCTGACTCAAGTGCCCATGACTCTGAACCAGATGACCGCAGAGGTGGCAAACCCAGCCTTGGTGCTCACTCTGTGTGTGTGCCACGAGTGCCAGGCCTGAGGAGCCCCTCCGAGCTTTTGCTCATATTGGGGGCCATGGGAAAGACGTTCTTAAGATCCATCAGCAGCAGTGTGTTGAGGCTGGTGTGGGTTTGAGGACAGGAAAGTGGCCTCACTTCTTTGACAAGGCAGAGAACAGGGGAGGGGTACATCTTACCTCTCTGTGTGTGTTTGTATGTACCATATTGGTATATGATATACATATATATAATATACACCATTGTGTGGTATATAGTGTGCATATTGTGGTGAAGGTATGGGACAATGAGAAAGGAGGGAGCTGTTTGTTGTTTGGAAGAATAACATCCATCTGGGTATTTTACAGACATGTCCCAATAAAGAAGAGTTCTGGGCTGGGGCTGTATAGATCAGTGGTAGAAATAATTTGCCTAGCATGTGTGAGACCCTGTATCTGATCTCTGGGACTGGAAAAAAAATGAAACAGAACCCTCAAAGATGACTTGGTTGTAGATGTGGATGTGTTTGCCTGGCTGTTCACCATCTGCATGACGGTCAACCTTGACTTGCTGTGACTGCCTTGAGAGAACCTGCTCCAGTGCGCCCCTAGTGGCTTGGAACCTCAGGACTATGAACAAAAGCTTAGGTGGAAGCAAGGCGGCTTGTACATACAGGGATGCACACACACCACAGGCTCTTGGGCCTCCTGTGATAGTATACTCCCTAAGGCCAAGGAAAGCCTTGAACTGGAATGAGTAGGACTAACATGAGCTGAGAGAGGGAGCGCAGCATTCAGGAGAGACGCATACACGGAAGTCAGCACACAAGAAATGGAGTGTCTATTTAGGAAAGGAGGAACACACACTCAGTGCCGAGACCCAGGGCACACTTCTGGGTTTCTGTCCCATACAGCCTAACCTCATCCAGATCCCCAACCTCTCAATCAAGGAGAGAGGGTGAAATAACATCTGTATTCACAAATTCTGCAGAGGACTTTGGGGGTCTTCAGTCTCCTGGAAATGGACCAGAAAATTCCTCAGGAAGGAGCTAGAAAATATTTTCTTTTTATGCATTTTAATTACAGTCACATAAGTCAGAGAAAGAGTACATTTCTTTTTTTAATAATATCACCCCTTCCCTCCCTCTCTCCCAGTTTTTCCCTCCTGTCCCCAAGTTGTATAGTTAATTTTCAACATAGTGTCTAGCGAGTACCACTGCTGCATTTGTTCACCCTTTGTCCCTCCATTTCCCTCCCTTACCCCAACCAAAAACAGAAAAATGAGCAAACAAAAGTAAAAGAAAACAAAAACAGCAACAAAGAAAGAAAACCTCTTGTTTCTATTTCCTGGAGTTTATCTCGATAAATATCATTTTTTTATGATCAGATGCACATAGGTATTGTGCCTTTGTGTTCTTCTTATAAGACTATCATCCTTTGGTATTATTATGTATGAATGCTTAGACACCTGTATAATGTATCATGTCCCCAGTGTATTTTTTTTACCATCCAGTGTGTTTACTTATAGATTTATAGGCACATTCTAGCTACCACAAGTGAGAGAAAACATGCAACCTATGTTTCTTTGAGTCTGGCTTAATTTGCTTAATATAATTTTCCATTTCCTTACAAATGGTACAATACCATTTTCTCTGATGGATGATTAGAATTTCATTGTATATATATACCACATTTTCTCAATCTGTTCATCCACTGAGGGGCATCTGGATTATGATAAACAATACTGCTGCAATGAACATGGCTGTGTTGGTAGCTTTAGTGTGGCCTTGTTTGTGGTCTACTGGATAAATGCCCAGGAGTGGAATTGCTGGATCACAGGGGAGCTTTATGTTTGCTCTTTTGAGAAACCTCCATACTGCTTTCCAGAATGGTTGATCATTACTGGTTTACATTCCTACCAACAGTGTAGCAGGGTTCCCTTTTGGTCACATCCCTGCCATCATTTGTTACTGTTATTTTTCTTGATAATGGCCATTCTAACTGGAATGAAGTGGAATCTCCATGTTGTTTTGATTTACATTTATTTTATGGTCAGAGATGCTGAGTATTTCTTCATGTATCTATTGGCCATTCTTATTTCTTCTTCTGAGAAGTCTCTCTTTAAGTCTTTAGCCCATTTATTAATTGGGTTATTGTTTCATTGAAGTTTTATTTGGGGGGGTTAATTTTTTGAGCTTTAAGTATATTTTCAATATGAGGCCCTTGTCCGATGATGTGTAGCTGGTAAAAATCTTCTCCCATTCTGTGGACTTTCTATTTATCTTGCTAGCTATATCCTTTGCCATTCAGAAACTCTTCAGTTTGATGCAATGCCATTTATCCAGTTTTTCTTTGATTTGTTGTGATTTTTAGATCTTTATTTAGGAAGTTTTAACATGTGCTTAGGAGCCTTAGTGTGTTTCTCCTACCCCTTCCTGTAATATTTTCATGGTATCTTACCTTACATTGAGTTCTTTTTTTTAAATATTTACAAATTTTCCCTATTTATTGCATGTTTGTCTTTTCTTTTTTATGTTTTTTTTTGTACAAATAGTGTACAGAGGGGTTACAGCTACATGAGTAAGGTAATAAGTACATTTCCTATCAAGCATTGTTACCTCCTCCTTTGTTTTTCCCTGCTACAATGAGTTCTTTTATACATTTTGAATTGATCAGATGCAAGGTGATAGATAAGGATCTAGCTTAAGTTTTCTGCATTTGAATAGCCAATATTTTAGCACCATTGGTTGAAGAGGCTGTCTTTCTTCCAATCTGTTTGGTTCCCTTATCAAATATTAGGTGGCTATAGATCTATGGGTTCATTTCTAGGTCTTCTGTTCTGTTCCATTAGTCCTCAGGCCTATTTTTATGCCAGTACCAAGCTGTTTTGATTACTATGGTTTTGTAATCGAGTTTGAAGTTTGGTATTGATATTCCTCCAACACAATCTTCTACTGATTGGTTTTGCTATACGGAGTCTTTTATTATTCCACATAAATTTTTGGATTGCTTAGAAAGCCATTTCTAATCCTTGCAAGTGTCTTGTTCCATCCTTTTCTTCTTTAAAGGTAATCATTCCAGATGCTATACAGTGTTTTTTCCTCTTTGATAATCTTGGGAAATGCTTATTTAAAACAACAGCAGTGATACATCTGGAGGTGCATTCACTTAGTAGCAGAAGGCTTAGACCTCATCCCTGAAGGAAGCTTTCACTGGTGTGTTCTTTATTTTGGATATTCACTCACATTCCATCTTTAACCAGGATAAACACATTGACATCATGAATAGCAATTCAGTCTCTAGTCATCTTTACAGGCTCATCCTGTGTTATAAACCATGACTCTATGTATTTCCCAAGTCTCCCTTGTATCTGCAGCCTTCCCTCCTAAAACAAGTTAGAAAAATGGTGCTTTTCAATGTGATGCCTTTGAAGGGCTTGTTTTTATAACAATAGCTTTTCTGATAAAACACACACACACACACAAACACACACACACACACACACACACACACACAATCTATTGTCAACAAAACACCTAGACTGTTACAATGCCATGACTCACAGCTTTGGTTCTTAGTACCTGGCAGTTTCTTAGCAGAGGGAAGTGTCCAAATTGGTTATGTCTCACAGTTCTGACCTCATACCATTTGCATCCAAGAATAAGTTATCAGAGGATGAACAAGTGCCATGCAATGGTAGAACCGGGTTTGGAGAATTTGCAATGATTTATATGATCGATTTTCAAACATATGTGCAGATAATTCTCATTGCTCTGAATTCTATCCCTGAGTGCTGTGGTTTTTGTAGTCTTGTTGTCCCTCAACCCAACCCCTACCTCAGTCAATTGACCATCAATGGGGATAGTTTCTCCCAAGCACCCCAGTTCTGGTAGTAAGAAATGTGGTAGCACTGGAGGAGTTCGCATCCTTCCAGAGTTTAGGGCAGTCCTTTGGTATGTTAGGAGCTTTCAGTTGAAGCAAAGAGAATAAAAGCAATAACTAGAAAGGTATGTCATCCTTTCTATCCAGCCTCTCCATCACTTCCTCAAAGACATGAGGTAGCCGGACAATGTACTCATATAGCATATGATTGGGACTTGAAAGAGGCCCTGGGGGGACTTATGGACATATGCATCTGTAATTTACATGACTCTGTTTAGATCACTTCAAGTGTGGCTCTCCATCAAACAGAATTTCTTTTTTTCTTTTTTTTTTGTCGGTCATGGGGCTTGAACTCTGGACCTGGGCACTGTCCCTGAGCTCTTCAGCTCAAGGCAGGCTCTCTACCACTTGAGCCACAGTGGCAGTTCTGGTTTTCTGGTGGTTAATTGTAGATAAGAGCGTCATGGACTTTCCTGCCCAAGATGGCTTTGAACTGTGATCCTCAGATCTCATCTTCTTGTCTTCTCAGTGTTATGGATTCTATTCCCTTTTCCCCTTTGTCTAAAATGCCTCTAACCCACACTGCCAATTCACAGTGGAGCTGCTCCCATGGTGTCTCGGTGGCACTTGATAACCTGCTAGGAAAATAAATTTAACCTTGTTTCTTTGAGTAAAGAACAATGAATGAACTGGTCACCCTCAGAACACATTGTGTATGCTGGGTAGAAGGTGAGTGTTGGAGCTTGAATTCAGATCCCTTAGCTTGTTCTCTCAAGACTGGTACTTTACTACTTGTTCCATATCTGGCTTTTTGTTGGTTAATTAGAGATCAGAATCTCACAGACTTTTCTGTGGGGGCTGAGTTTGGCTTGCAATACTCAGCCTCAGCCTCCTGAATAGCTAGGATTACAGGATTATGAGCCACCATTGGTGCCTAGCTGAACCATAGTTCAGAGATAAATGAAGAAGGCAGAAATAGGAAATATTGGTCATTTCAAAGTTCCTTCATGACAGCCTTTCTCCTTATTGTAATAAAATATCTGGGAAACACACACACACATACACCTTAAGGGAGGAGCTGGACACTATAATCCTAACTGCTCAGGAGGCTGAGATCTAAGGATCTGCCTGGGCAGACAGAAAAAAAAAAAGCTGAAACTGGATGCAGGGTTCAAGTGGTGGAATGCCATCCCAGCAACTTCAAACAAACTTCAAACTCCAAGTAGCACTATTGGCCAAAAAGCAAGCCTCCCTCTTTGGCGCCAGAGCCCCCCTTGTCCACAACTTTAAACGTGTTTCTTTTCTGATCAGCAATTTTCCACATCTTTCGGCTCTGCTTCTTGCTGTCAGTTCTTCCTATAATCTTGGTAAAAGAAGATCATCATAATGGTGCCACAGCCTGAATGCTAGGCTGCCTTATTCTGGAACAAAATGCGTAGAGGGAGGAAGGATCATGATGTTTCATGTTTCAGAGGTTTCCGTCCATAGTCCTTGGTTCCATTGATTCTGAGTCCAAAGTGAGGCAAAGCAACCTGGTGGCAAGAACAGGCAGCTGAGATTACTTCTCTCATGGCAGATAGGAAACCATGAAAAGGGATAGAAAGTAGCATGGGACAAGATACAACCTGCAAGGACTATCGTTTCCAGAACCTTCCAAAATAGCACCACATGCTGTGACCAACCCTTCAATACATAAGCCTTTGGGGGTGGGGGAGACACTGTTTATAAAGACTGAATCAGAGAGGGCTTTTATATCATTCTATCATAAGCTGGCCAGCCTGGGGATGGGGCTATTCATTCTGTCTCTTTATCTCTGTCTGTCTGTCTCTCTGTATGTCTCTGTTTGTATGCCTCTCTGTGTGCCTTTTTCTCTTTTTCTTTGTCTCTCTTTGTGTCTTTCTGTATTTGTTTCTTGTCTCTGTCTCAGTCTCTCTGTCTGCACCTTTCTCTCTCTCTCTCTCTCTCTCTCTCTCTCTCTCTCTCTTTCTCTCTTTCTCCTGAAAAAAAAAGGCCAGTTAAACAACGTGGTTTCAGTTTGGCTACATAAAATTTTAGCATGAGTGGCTCTATTTTGTTTTGGCCTGTTAGAATCCAATACAGGAAATCAGTCCAAATCAATAGCCTCTTACAGATTGTATTAAATACAATGAGGTCACTTTACAAGTTGTGTGGGGATTGGAGGGGAAAAAGGTAGGCCAATTTCCCATCTTCCTGCTTGTCTCTACATACTTCAAGTCTCTGTACTAAAACCATCTCCACAGGAGGATGAGCACATTGCCTGAGTCACAAGGGACTAGGGCACCCAAAAAACCATGTACGAACAATTGCTGCAAAAGCTAAATAGAAAAGGTAATGGTGAAAAGCAGGTTAGGAGCTGAATCAGTGCAGCCATACTAGAAAAGCAAGGGGACTAGCCTCCTCAGCTCTGTCTTTTAGGTAATGATTATAATAGAGAAGGGGCTGGGAGTAGGAGAACATACAGAATTATTCAGCCTTCTTCAATTCATGGTCTGGGTGACCACTGTGTCAGAACTGGTCAGGCAGGACCTTGACAGTGATACAAAAGTTGTACTTGGGGGCAGTCTCTACTTAAAAAAAAAATTAGTAAGTTTTTTTAATTGTGAAAATACCATACAGAGGGGTTACAATTACATGAGCAAGGTTACAATTACATTTCTTATCAAGCATTGTTGCCTCCTCCTTTGTTTCCCCTTACTATAGCTGCCCTCCCCCCTGCACCCCCTGCCAAAGTTGTAAAGTTCATTTTTCGACATAATGGCTTGTACATCTTATTGTTGCAATGGGTCCACCTGTATCCCTATTAAAACAATTTGTTTTTTCCCCTTCCCCTCCACAAATTATACCAACATCAAATACAGTGAAAACAGGGGTTATACCATGGGGAAGGGACTTACAAAGTAACAAAGAAATCATCTTATAAATATGTTAGAAACATTAGCAAGAAAGAAAAACCACTTGTGTTCTTATCTTGGGGGTCATTTTGCCTAACATCAACTTGTCTGACTGTTTCTGCTTATTTCAGACATATACTAGTTATTGCAAATAAGGGAAACCATGGGACCTATGTTTCTTTGGGCCTGGCTTACTTCACTTAATATAATTTTTCCAAATCTTTCCATTTCCTAACAATTGAGGCAATGTCATTCTTTCTGATGGAAGCATAGAATTCCATTGTGTATATATACCACATTTTCTTGATCCATTCACCTACTGAGGGGCATCTGGGTTGGTTCCATATCTTATCTATGGTAAATAATGCTGCAATAAAAAAAAATAGTTGTGCTGGTAGCTTTAGTATGGTCTTGTTTGTTATCATTCGGGTAAATGCCCAAAAGTGGGATTGCTGGGTCATAGGGGAGCTCTATGTGGAGTCTTTTGAGGAACCTCCAGACTGCTTTCCAAAGTGGTGAAACACACTATTCTTATAATAAACCCTAGTATTTTTTTCCTCACAAAAAAATAATAGCCAAGCAGAAGCAAAGAGGAGTTTATCAAACTGGCTGCAAGCTTCCAGCTAAGATGGAACTTCATTCTCACTGCTGTGAGCAAAGCCATGACCCTCTGTCACAGAGATAGTTTTGGTAAGTCAAACAATACCTAGATTTTTAAATGTTCTACCTTTTCAATCTGTTACTACAGGCCAGAGGAGGGAGATGTCACACAGGGGTAGGATGTACAAGGCCTGAATTCCACCCCTACCTAACACCCTTAAATAAGTAAATAAATAATAAATAAACTTAGTATAGCATAAGTATTGGGGATATTGCTTTGAAGATTTGTTTTTAATCTTTTTTGTTTTTTTTTTATCAGTACTATGATTTGAACTCAGGGCCTAGGCACTGTGCCTTAGCTTTTTCACTAAAGACCACTTTCTCCACAGCTTGACTTCTGCCTTTTTTGGGAGTGATTAATTGGAGATAAGAGTCTTACAGACTTTCCAGCCCAGGCGGGCTTTGAACCACAATTCCTCATATCACAGCCTCCTGAATGGTAGTTAAAGGTGTGAACCGCCCATGTCCAGCCTCTTTTAATCTTTTTAATGTAAGGTGCAACTTAGATACAGAATACTGTAGTCATCTTTATATTAATGGCAAGGAGATGGTCCCCAACAAATGGACTATGTGGTACTTTCTCATCCCAGTGGAGTTGGACCTATAGGAAGCCTGCCCTTGTGAAATTTATAAGCATGGTGTCCTTTCCAAAGAAGCACCAAGCCAGACAACAGAAGTGGAGGGGGAAAAAATGTATTCTTTGGAGGATGCATATTTAACTTCCCAAGATAAGTTGCCTTTGCTTGCAGCTGATGGAAAGTACCACCACCTTTTGCATTTCACAAATGTTGTGGTCAACAATGGATCCTCCCCTACGGGGGAAAGTCATGTCTTTGCCAAAGGTATGGCATAAAAAGAGTTCCAGGAAGGGAAACATTTACAACTTCCTGAGATGAACCTTGCATTCAGAAGATAGTTTTCTTTTTCCCTATGATGTCCCAGCACCTTCCTGGGCACTAGATAGATAGCAGCAGAAAGACAGCCTCCCCTCCCATGTTTATACACTAGTCAGAACCAGTCATCCTCACCCCAGGGGGCTGCCAGATGCCCTCATTGCTATTAAACAGAACAAGAGGAAGGCAAGACTTGTTGGAGCTCATTTGAGGGTTGCCACTGGAAGTAACCACATAAATGACACCATTTGTAATGATGTCCTCCCCTTTAACTCAGTCCAAACTGAGTCTGCTTGATGATGATGCCCTTCCAGAGCATAGAGTCAAGTTCACAAGGAATCACAGAAGAAAATCCAGCCCTGTTGCTGTCTATGCCTTTCCCATTTTCCCTTCTGTGGTCAAATGTTGCACAATGATATACCTCTTCCTCAAGACTGTGGTTTTCACAAGGTTAAATAGGCTAGGCACTGTTAATCAGATTATTCCAGACCAGGCCATTCATCATGCAATAATAAACATTGCTTAGGAGAAAATCATGAAAGCTTTCAAATGGATGAAAGATTACTTGAAATAGATAAAAATCTGTTGAAGCTGCACTGGTGTCTCATGCCTGAAATCCTAGCTACTCAGGAGGCTGAGATGTGAGGATTGCAGTTTGAAGCCCGCCTAGGCAGGAAAGTCCAATACACCACTCAGAAAAAATTGGGACGTGGCACTGTGGCTTAAGTGGTAGAGTGCTAGCCTTGAGCAAAATCAACTCAGGGATAACACTCAGGTCCTAAGTTCAAGCCCAGCAAAATAATAATAATAATATAATTATTATATAATAATTATATTATTATTATTATAAATCTCCAAGGTTTGAGTACATGCTCTGGATATGCTCTACCTTTCTTGGTCTGTGTTATCTTACTGCTATAAATTAGAGCAAGCTAGTAACAACACAAATGATTCTCACTTACAAAAATGCAAATTACTTATGTCCAGTAGATACAATTGTTTACTGCCCAAAGAACAGATGTAACTGGCATGTTTGTAAGGTACTATCACCCTTATTCAGTGCCTCTGTGTTTAGCATCTTGATTTTTTCCTTTGGTCCTTTTTTTTTTTCTGGTGCCTGTCCTGGAGCTTTAACTTAGGACCTGGGCACTATCTCTGAGCTTTTTTGCCCAGGACAAATGAACAGACAGACAGTCTCTCTCTCTCTCTCTCTCTCTCTCTCTCTCTCTCTCTCTGTCTCTCTCTCTGTCTCTCTCTGTCTCTCTGTCTCTCTGTCTCTGTCTCTGTCTCTCTCTCTCTCTCTTTCTCTCTCTCTCTGCCTAAATCTATTCCTGTTTCTCAGGCAAACACTAAGGATGATCTTGTGTCTACAAGAGCTCTCTGTAGGTTTTCTTTTCCTCCATTTTCCACTGGGTGGAATGTAAATTCTCTGTTGAGATGCAGGCTATTAGCTCTCTGTCATCTCTGTTCACAAGCTGTTCACATAACCAGGAGTTCCAAGTGTGTGGACATCTGCTGGAGCAATGGTCACCCAGCATTCAGCCACCTCACTCCTTAGGTCTGGTGCAAAGGAGTTTTAAAAAATCCCAGAAAAGTTAGTTTTACAGTGATTTACATATTGGTGCAACTGGAGTTTTAGGTCTTAGCTCCACACTCTGGGATTCTACATGTGAAGTCTGGCCATTTGGTCAACACCACAGGTAAAGAGGTAGATAGTGATGAAGGACAGAGGAAGGAGATTTATTACATGGAACAGCCATCCCAAAGGAAGAAGCAAAGAAGCACTTAATCGAATCTTCAGTCATCTTTGTAATATAGACATGAGCTTTAGGTTTAAATAGACATAGAATTCGGGCAGAGAGCATGAGGTATACATAATGATTCAACAGACTTGGTCAAAATATGGCCTGGTTGATCATTATTTTCGTCTTTGTTTTAAGAAGGTTCCAGAAAAGTTGTAAATAATCCCTGACATCACTGGTCAGGATAAACAAATCTTGGTTGCCTGACTGGTGGGTGCTCTGGCTTGAGAAGGTTTGATGTTCCTTTCCTTAGGAGCAGTTTCCTCCATCCCTCCTTGTTCTAGGTAAATCCCTCCTTGTCCCAGTATTCGAAGGTGATTGCAAAATTTTTTTAATGACTGTAGAGAGAATGGCTTAGAGAAAAGATAAGTACAAGATGAGGCTGAGATGCAAAGCCTCCACTCTACTTTTTAGTTAATTGGTAGGCCAAAGGAATCAGTGCTTTTTCAGCAAAAACAAGCAAGTGCCTTTTATAGTGCCTTCTTGTCTGCTTCACGTGTACTCACCTCTGGTTGTTGTTGAAACACAGGGTCCTGGCATCTGTTTCACTTGCTGTTTTTGGAATATGTGATTCACATCATCCAGTCCTGCATGGAGGAGGATGAAGAAGAGGAGGAAGAGGAGGAATTGGGGAGTCTGAAGGACTTTCTGTCAGATGACCCATCTCTTGTCCAGCCAGACCAAACTTTTTTTCACCTTCTAGATCCTCCACCAACTCAGGAGTATACAAGCCTAAATGTGGAGTCACCCAGAGTGACACTGAAATGCATGAGCCCTAGCCACAGTCCTGTGGGTATGAGCAGCATGGTTCTCCAAGTCCTGGGCTTCCTGGTGGACACTGCCACAGGAAATAAGGTAGAGACACCAGGGCCCTCTGCTCCTTTTTGTCCCCCATGATGCAGACAGAGATGTTTCAAGGGGAATAAGAAAACTACAGAAAGGATTGAAAACCCAGAAAGATCCTGTGGCCCAAACTACAATGGATTCTAGCATCCTCTTTACTTGAGGCCATTTTGCTAGAGGTGTTTATGGCAGCTAATCTGTCCATCGCTAGTCAACACAGTATGTACTACAATGATACATGGACAGAAGCTGGTTGGTGAGTCACCTTCCCAGAGTTTACCTGGTAAGACCAGACTAATTGAGCAGTAGAATGCCACTTACTCCTAAACTGAGTGTTGTATACTGGACATGCTACTATCATTCAACAAAAGAAATATTAAATAGCAGGGATTTTGAAGAAATTGAAGTAGGGTACCCTGTAAAAGATATAAAAATACAAGAGTTGCTATTTCTCTGACACCTCCTGGATGCCCTCTATAAATCTGCCCCGTAGAGTACCTGTTTTTAATCACAGTCATGTGACAGAGGAGAAAACTGGGGCTCAGAGAACTTAAGTGATTTGCATAAAGTAACACACAAGCCAATGCAAGGTAGTGGGCACAGAGAATAGATCTGTATGATCTCAAGTCCATTCTTAGCACACAATGCTGGATTGGAGGCGAGCAGTTTATGCTCTGAGAAGAGCAGGATATGAGTTACAGTCAGAGATAGACCCTCAATTGCCAGCAAGAAATGCTATACTGGCATGGAAACAACTGAATCCCCTCCAGTAAGGGGTAGAGACATAGGCTGGTTTTATAAACTGGAGACATCTCGCTGCCAGTGGCTTATGCCTGTAATTGTAGCTACTGAGGAGGCTGAGATCTGAGGATCACAGTTTGAAACCAGCCTGGGCAGGAAAATCAATGAGATTCTTATCTCCAATTAATCACCAAAGCGCAAGAAGTAGAGTTGTGGCTCAAGTGGTAGAGCACTAGCCTTGAACAACAACAACAAAATCTCAGGGCCAATGTCCAGGCCCTGAGTTCAAGCCCCAGGACTGGCAAAAAAAAATGGTGACAGTAATTTACTTGGTATAATTTCTCAAACTTCTATACCCACTTAGCTGTTCAGCCACTAAATATTCTCTTCCTTTAACCCTCACAGATGAGTTGCGCAAGTGCATTGCTCAGTGGTCTTGGCCATGGAAATGCATCTCAGGCTAAAACAGTTCATACCCTACAGCCTCTTTTTTTCCCAAACAAACCCTCATCTCGAGTTCCCCAGAACACAGAGATCTTGTGCAAAGTGTTGAACACTGCTCAGAGGACACAGCCTGCTATATAAAAACAGTATATGGAAATACTACTGGGTTAGCAAATTCTCTTCTGTCTGCCTGTATTTGGTCTTTGCTTTTTCCATCTTGGAATGGCCTCTGTGCAGTAGATTGCGAGGTTACTGGAAGGAGTCTGGCTCTTCATTGTGTGAAGGGCCAGTATTCAGGAAATGAGAGTTGGTGGTAAGGGATCAAGATGTATTCATCTTGAGAAGACAGAGGGCTATTGCCCTCAAAGCTCCATCTTGGAGGACCTGAGGGCATTTTATAGGAAGGAAAGGGGGATTCGGTCAGGAAGTCTGTGCTGAGTGGGGTCTTTATCATCCAGAGTATATGCTTTCTTTCATCTTTGTCAGAATATTGCTGTAGCCCTCAGCCTCCTGTGGCCAGCTCCCGTGTTGCTTTTTCAACATACATTGCTTTTCTTCATGTTAAAGCTCTTATCAGTGTTGTTGATGCAAAGAATGAAAGATGAGGGAGTGTTTTTATATCTCCTGATGTTCACCAGTTGCTCTGGGTTCTGTGAATCTGTTCTACCTGAAGACAAATTTAACAGCTAACATCTGCCCCACTTAGGTGGGGCTTCTTTTTAGAATTACAATGCCAAGACCAAAAAGTAGATGGAATTAGACTGAGGAGGGATAAAAACCCTTGTGAAAGGGAAAAGGTAGTAATATTGCCAAGGAATCACCAAAGGAGCATCCTGTTGCTTGTAAAGGACATTTCACTCCTTCTGTAGGCAGATGTCTGAGGCAGACATGAAAAATCAACTACTGAAATATTCATGGAAGTCAGGGACTGCATGTATAGGTGGGACTTGAGTCTCCAGTGGGGAAATCGCTGGGGAGACTCAGGGAACCAGTACTCAGAGCTGTGGGCAGGAAAGATGCTCAATGTTGTTGGAAGAAGGGACTCTTGTCCAGACTGGGCTGGGAGAACAACTGTCCTTTCTTCCTGTCACACTGGAGAATGGACTCAGGCCTGGCACAGAGCCCTTCAAGAACTGGCTAGGGGCAGCTCACCCGAGTCTTCAGGTGAGAGAAATGAAGAGGACTTGCTTTTGCTTTAGTGCTTGGCCATCATGCTCAGCTCCCCATGAACAGTTTCCTCAGCTCACTGGCTGGGGCAGGAGTATAGACTACCACATAACAATTTGTTAAAGAAAAAGAATCATTCAATGACATCTGTTAAAGTGCAATGAGGGAACCAGTGACTCACACCTGTACTCCTACCAACTCAGGAGGCTGAGATCTGAAATGATGGTTCAAAGCCAACCCAAGGAAGAAAAGTCTGTAAGACTCTTATCTCCTAAAAACAAAATAAAAGAGAAAAGAGCAGAGAGAAAGCGAGAGAGACAGAGAGACAGAGAGCCAGAAGTAGAACTGTGGTTTAAGTAGTAGAGCACAGACTTGGTATGCTAAAAAAAATAGTTAAGGGAGACTTTATGTAAAACCAAGAGTGGGGTCAAAGAGTTAAAGTCAGGAGAATTCTGGCTAAACCAGCCTGACAAGACTCTCACCAAAGACAAGCCAGGGTAACATCTCCTGGAGATGGTGGGCTATAGTGGGGGACTGAGGAACTGGTTATCAGCTATGGTGACTAGACATCCAACGTAGGGAGTTCTTACTGAACTCATCAGGGCTCTTTGCTAATACCAGATTTTATAAGAAAGTGCACAGATGGGCCTAGAAGGCACTCCTTCAGCCAGGAGTAAACCTTGATCTTTTCAGCCATAGTTAGAAGAGGGGTAGAGAGCAGGTATAGTCTACTTAAATGCACCATTTAACTCAGAGAAAGAAAGGGGTTGTCATCACTGGTGGCAGAACTGAGGCTTACAGTGGGATTATGAGGATTTTCCAAGGTCTCCTTCATAACTAGAAGATCATTGATTCACACCCCATAAATCTTTCAAGTCTGTCTTCTCTCTTTCCACAGAATATTCTACTATGTGCTTTAATTCCAAAGCCAGTGACTGAAAAGTCAATTAAAACTATCTTTGAGGGCTGGGAAGGTGGCTCAGTGGTAGAGCGCTTGCCTTATATGCTCAAGGCCCTGGGTTCGATTCCTCAGCACCACATAAGCAAAAAGAAAAAAGCCAGAAGTGGCACTGTGGCTCAAGTGGTAGAGCGCTAGCCTTGAGCTGAAGAGCTGAGGGACAGCGCCCAAGCCATTAGTTCAGGCCCCACGACCGGACCCCCTCCCCAAAAATTGCTGGGTAAATTGCTGGGTTCAAATTCCAGCTCTTCCATTTAAGTTGCTTAAGTCATAGGAATAATGCTACCTAATTCTATAGGACTGGAGGTTAAAGTCAATTAATTGAGCTGGCTCTGGTACTCATGCCTACTCAGAAGGCTGAGATATAAGGATTTAGGTTCTAAGCCAGCCCTGAGAGGAAAGTCCATGAACTTTCAAAAAAGTCAGAAATGGAGCTGTGGCTCAAGAGGTAGAGTACTGGCCTTGAGCAAAAAAAGCTAAGGGACAGCTTCCTGAGTTCAAGCCCCAGAACCAGCACACACACACACACACACACACACACACACACACACACACACACAAATTGTTGTAAAATGCACAGAAAATTTCTTACCAGGCATCAGTGGTGCATGCCTGTAATCCTAGCTACTCAGGAGGCTGAGATCTGAGGATCACAGTTCAAAGCCAGCCAGGGCAGAAAAGTCCTCATGAGACTCTTATCTCCAATTAACTACCAGAAAACCAGAAGTGGTGCTGTAGCTCACGTGGTAGAGTGCTAGCTTTCAGCACAAAGAAGTTCAGGGAAAGTACCCAGGCCCTGAGTTCAAGCCCCGCATCCAACCAAAAAGAAAATCTCCAAAAACCATTAGTCATGTTTATTTTTCTCCAACAAAAGCTCCCAATCTCAGCATTTTCCCTTACCATTCTCCACCCAGTTCCTTAGCTCCTCTGAAGTGCATTACAACGAGGGCTGCCCTATATTTAATTGGTGAAAACAATAGAGGAAATATTAAATGCTTAATTGAACTACATAATAAAGCAATATACGCAGAGGAGTGACAGATTATCCAAGGTAATATGCATTAGAGATTAATTAAGCCCACTTCTGTTCCTTCACGCCTGCTGAATTAGCTATAATGACGTAAACAAGCTAACACCAAAAAGTTCTGCTTGTCTAATTTTCATTGCCTTCATTATTGAACATGTGTGCTCAGCAGCAGCAGCAACAAAACCACACCCTCTGTGTCCCATCTGCATTTGTCTGCCATGAGTCAACGCCCCATGCACTGCACATCTGTACCAGCCTCACTCTTGAAACAATTTCGCATTACCCTGCACCTAGAAAAACAATCACATTCAGCATCCAGACTGTCACTTCCATCTGTCACTTGTGCAATGTTCAAAATCAAAAGCTGCCAAGACACATCTAAGGCTAAATTAATTTTTAATTTAAAAAAATTGTGTTGTCAGTCCTGGGGCTTGAACTCAAGGCCTGAGTGCTGTAGCACTCTACCACTTGAACCACAGCTCCACTTCCAACTCTTTGGTAGTTTGTTGGAGATACAGGTCTCTCAGACTTCCCTGCCTGGGCTGGCTTTGAACTGTAATTCTCAGATTACAGTAGCTAGGATTACAGGCCTGAGCCACCAATGCCCAGCTGACTAAAATAACTTTTTAATGATATTAAATAATGAATATTCCCTTAAAATGATGGCAGCATGTCTTTTACTTTAGGCCATGTGCTCAGGGTTAAGGCAAAGAAAGGTGGTTAGAGCAAAGAAAGGAGATGATAGGAAAAAAAGAGGGGAAAAGGGAGAGACAGACAATGAGAGACAGATACAGAGACAGAGAAACATTGAGAGACACTCCATCCCTTAGGTTAACGTGAAAATCATGGGTTTTTAAATTTTTATTATTATCTTTAAGTTGTTACACAAAGGGGTTTCAATTCAACACATCAGTTTAAATGCTGACTGCATCTTGATCAATGTCATTCCATCTACCATTCTCCTCCAGAAATAAGAGAAAACAGCTTTGTTTGGTTGTTGTTGGATTTGGAGAAAGACAAACATATATTTTAAGTGAATCTTGCATCCAAATATTATTCACATCCTGGTCAGAATATGTTAGCAGAAAATTCATTTCTGTCGGCTCTAAAGTAATCATGTGCAAAACTTTGCACATCTTCCAGATTCCCCCGGAACTAAGGGAAGCATGACACAGTATCCCTGCCCCTCTGATGGGAGGCTATGTTCATGCAGGCTAAGTGACATGGGGCTCCTGAGCTAAATCAGAACTGGCAAAACTCTGGACTCTATTAGGATCTAGCCTAGTGTTCATTCACCTGGTATCAGGTGACTGTTTTCAAGGCCTGTCTCATGTAAGGGTCTATGGGATGGGTGGTAGAGGGAAGGTCTTGAGTGGGCCATGTTGGCTCCAAGGACTAACAAGAGTGCAGGGACTGGTGTCCTTCTGGAAGGAAGCCAATCACAGGCATTGCAGCCACACAAGACCACTGCATTCACAGGACAGCTCACAGGCTTTTCCTGGTGCTCACAAATCTCTGTGCCCGGCTGTGCCTGTAGGATTGTTAGGGTTTACTCTCATAGGGGGCCCAATATGTTTCCCCAAGACTGCCACAGCCTCCCCAGTTTCCTTTCTTAAAGGGATCCTACTATTCTCCTGACTCCTTCTCTTCTCACATAATCCCTGGATTGAGAGTCCTCCCATGAGATCCTCACTAGAACTGGAGCACTGCTCTGAGAAATTATGATCTCCCCTGATGGGGATTCATAGACAAACTTCCTGTTTAGGTCTCTGGGTGGCAGAAAGGATGCAGTAGGACTGGGAAGGTGGCTCCATGGTAGAGTGCTTACATTGCATACATGAGGCCCTGGGTTCGATTCCTCAGCACCACATAAACAGAAAAGGCTGGAAGTGGTGCTGTGGCTCAAGTGGTAGAATGCTAGCCTGGAGCAAAAGCAGCTCAAGAACAGCACCCAGGCCCCGAGTTCAAGCCCCAGGACCAGAAAAAAAAAGAATGTAGTAGATGAATTTTGAATGGTAGTTTCCTGTCACAAGGAATTCTATGTAATGTTTGGGGTTTTTTCTTTCTTTTAAACCTTTTCTCCTGGCAGCTCATCCAAGTATTGTTGAGAGACAGCACCACTGAGACCATAGCTAAGCTCAGCCTTCCAGTGGGGCAAGAAGCCCTCATCACCTTAAGAGATGGACAAAGATTTGTGATCCATATATCTGATGTTACTCCAAGCTCCGAAAATACCTATTTGCAAGGAAGTAATGCCAATATGCAAGATGGTTTATTGGAATAGACACAATGAAACAGACTTATATTCTTAAAAACATATGAAATACTAATGCTTTTGTATGAATATGAAAGATTTTGTGTATATAATAGATATAATGAAGTGGGGTTTTTTGTTGAAGAGTTTGTTTTGATCAAACTATAAACTAATTTGGAAAACAATTGTTTTTTGCTTCTGTGACTTTACTTGTGAATCTTTCCAGGTATTTATTTCTATTTGGGGATGCAATTGAAGAGAATTTGAGAAATCTCTTTGTGGGGAAATAGTTGTCTTCAGATAAAATGTTTAAGGAATATAAGCTAATTTTTCTTCATCTTGACAATGACTGGGGGAAAATCACATTTGTAGAAAAATCTTCTGAAGCAGCGAGGAAGGAACTGAGAAATGTTCAATGTCCCTGTGATCCTTACTTGCTGGCACATTAAATACCTGTTGTTCACCACCTTGATTTTAAAGTGAAATAGAAGTTTAAATGGAAAAAAGACATCCACAAAAAATGTTGATGTCCTGCTTTGAATCTCTTCTGATTTCTATCTTTTAAAGCAAAACTCTAAAAATGTGGAAACTAAAAATAGATCATTATTATACCAGTTCCATTTTTAATGTAACTTATGGTATTTAAAAGAAATTTTAATTTTTTATGTTTAAGATCATCTTTTCTAGAGCTGGGAAGGTGGCTCAGTGACAGAGTGCTTGCCTTGCATGCATGAGGTCCTGGGTTCAATTCCTCAGCACCACATAAGCAGAAAATCTGGAAGTGGTGCTATGGCTCAAGTGGTAGAGAGCTAGCCTTGAGCTGAAGAGTTGAGGGACAGCGCCCAGGTCCAGAGTTCAGGCCCCATGACCGACTCCCTCCCCCCCAAAAAAAGATAATCTCTTCTATAAGTGGAAAGACTAGAGATTTATTGCCCTAACATTACATACAGAATGAGCTAAATTTCATTTAGTATCACATATAAAATGAGTTACTGTCACCTACAAAATGAATTTCCCTAGGTGCTTAGAAATTTTAAAGAAACTTAGGGACCAAATGCATCTATGATTTAAGAATTATTTGTCTTTAGTTGTGCCTATTTTAATCCCAGCACTCAGAAGCTGAGACAGGAGGGTCATGTGTACCAGGACACATAGAGGACTACATAGAAATACCCTGTCTTAAAATAAGAAAAAGAACAAAAGGAAGGGGAGAGGAGGGGACACAGGAGAGAAGGGGAAGGGAGGGGAGGAGAAAAGAAGGAAGGAAGGAAGGAAGGAAGGAAGGGAAGGAAGGAGGGAGGGAAGGAGGGAGGGAGGGAGGGAAGGAGGGGAGAGAAAGAGCTCAAGTGAGAGACAAAATGGAGCCTGTGGTACTGAGCTGCCATTGAGGCCTACAGACAGCAGTCCATGTACTGCCTCACCGTGTTATGGACTGGCTAATTTAAGGAAAACATAAGCCATTCACATGACTCTGATGTTGACCAGCAGGTTTTTATAATGGTAGGCTGGGTTTGGGGTCACTGAGATGAGGTATAAGCAGGCTATATCATAAACATCATATGGAGGAAAGATGTTTTAACCAAGACAGACAATGGGATAATATTTAATCAGGAGACCAGGGTTTCGCTCAGTGGTAGATGCCTGGTTATCACGTGCAAGGTGCTGGGGTTCGAGCCTCAGCACCACAAAAATGAACACCCAATCAGCAACTCTATTAACTGTACAACAAGGATTCTCATGAGGTTCTAGTTCTTGGTCTGGGGGGTAGACAGTGTAGTATGTTCATGTTCGCTGATTTTACTATTTCTTCATATGTTATGTATAAAAATATCACTGGATAAAGGCTGGGGGGTTTTCTCAGGTTCCCAGTTTCCATATAAAATCCCAGGAATTTGAGGAGAGAGGGAGGGAGGAGGGAGAGAGAAAGAGGGAGACAGAGAGGGAGAGGGAGGGAGAGAGAGTGTGCAGGAGCAGGTGCAAAGATTGTTTTCTGCTTGTACTGTAGATTGGTTTACTATCACACACAGTATCACAAACCAATCCTTAAGGACAAACAGCCCTAATTCATCACAGGTCCACAGGTGCTTGGATTTGCCAAATCTCAACCAAGCTTTCTCAGTCATAGAACTGACAGGTTACCTGAGGGCTAGCTTGTACAGGATTGCTTTGAGTGGAATAACTAAACTGCCCTTCACGTGGCTTCCACACCCTCCAGCAGGCTGGACTATGCATATTCTCATGTTAGAGGGGCTTGAAGAAAGAGTAAACCATAAGCCCGAATAAGTCGTTCTGGTGGGCTTGCAGTCTGTGGTGTGGGAAGCACTAACAGGTGTAAGCAAAGGAGGTAGGCTGGAGGTGAGGGGACCACTGGGGCTGTTCAAGCCACACCACTACATGCCTTATTAAATTCAGCTAATGCAAAATAATGCCTCAATCATTTTTTCCCATTGTTCTGTGCTGGAGGAGAGTGTCCAATAGAAATGACCTGCTCAAGGTCATCTGGCAGCAGGCTGTCCTTCACTACCTGGAGAACTTCCACACCCAGCATCAACAATTGACAGCACTGCCTTACTGACAAAGGACCTCAGCATAAAGCATACACTTTGGCTTTTCAGGCATGCATACCCGAAAAAGAGGTTTTTTTAAAATGATCATTTGAAACAGGAATAATAATGAGATCCTGTACAGACAAAAAATCTCCTCAGGGTCTATCACTGATCACCAATATGGTGCTTACACCAAGGAAGGCACGTGACATTTTTCCTCAGGGTAATAATAGCTACACCCACACGGATCTTAGAACATAAATTGTCACTCAGAATGATGAGTTGGAAGCCTGCTAGCATTCTGGCAGCAGAAAAATTTTGCAAAAAAAAGAGACATTTGGTCTAAAAATCTGGAGAGATGTTTTTCAAAATTAAGTGGTTGTCATATATTTATTTTTTTCACCATGGATTCTAAATACCAGGGATTATCTAGGAGCAAAATAGCAAGTCCAAACTTTATGGAGTTCATGTTCCCAGTAGGAAAAGGCCAACAACAACAACAATAACAAAAGAAAGCAAAATGTCTTACAGGGTGTTAAGAGTCAGAATGAAAACAGCATCTTGCTTCCTGCAAGGGAAGGGAATTACCTTCTAGCAAGGGTAATTTGAAGTAACATCTGAAGAAGGTAAAAGAAAGGAAAGGCATCAGAAATAGGGGGGTATAGGCGAATGAATCAGAGAAGTGAGATGGTCCTACCAGGTATCCCAGGACCCCCTTTGAAGTCCATACGCAAGATTTAAAATGATTAAAGGATTTTTTTTTAATTATTCGTTTCTAGATACAGGACAAGCTAGTTTATTCAAACCGATTCATTAACTTCAAACAACTCAGTGCACTGTATCAAAACAGAAACACACACACAAACATACACGTCTTCTTTTTTCAATTATATTTTTATTATCTTTAAGTAGTTGTTCAGAGTTGTTAAAATTCAACATGTCAGTTTATTAGTATGGTGCATCTTGATCAATGTCAACCCTCTTATCATTCTCCCCATCTCTTCCAACTCCACTCATTCCCTCAAGTTTCCTAGTTTCACAGGATACTCACTGAATATCCTCCCCCTTCCCCCGCCCTCCCCCCCCATTCATCTCTTCATTCATCTCTGCTCCTTTTGACTTCGTGCCACATAGTTCAAGTACCACTTTCCTAGTATTCATTTCATTAGATTGGAAATTTGCTGTTCTAAGGAGTTACACCAGTAATTTGCTGTTCTAAGGAGTTACCAGTATATACCATACTCAGTTGATATATTTGTGTACATATGCATATGACCCTTCATGTTTATTTATATATTTATATGTTAGATCTAACTTCCATATATGAGAAGAACCATGTGTCCTTTTTCTCTCTGGCCCTTAATACACTTACTATAATTTTTTCAAAGACCACCTATTTCTTTGCAAATTATATAATATCATTTTTTTCTAATGGATGAGTACACATAGAACTACCTCATGATCCAGTGATACCACTCTTAGGGATTTATCCAAAAGATTACAGGTCAGGGTACAGTAAAGTCACTTGTACAACCATGTTCATTTCTGCACTGTTCACCATAGGCAAGGTATGGAAACAGCCCAGATGCTCCTCAATGGATGAATGGAACAAGAAAATGTGCTCTATATACACACAATAGCATTTTAAAGGCATCAGGAAATGGAGACAATAAAAAATAATGCAGATATCAATCTAAGAGAGAGGGGCTGTTGCAGGAACAGCTGAACACTGTTTTCTACAGTTCATACAAACTTGAGCTTTAATGTGACCTGAGGGTAAATAGGGCAGTCTTGATATGCCACCTGGGGTGGGGAATTCGAGGATCTATCTTCCCCATCATTAATTGGAATGACCAAAGAGTTCCACATACTAGGAGAGAGCCAGAGGCAAAATTTCATTCCTCCCTGAGAAGGCAAAAAAAGCTTCTGAGGGAATTAGTATAGATAGAAAGCTGTCCTGAAAAATTGTGCACAAAGCTTACCCCAGAGCACACTTTTTAAAAATACTTTATTTTTTTGATATAACACTGGAGTTTGAACTCAAGAGTCTTGCATTTACTCAGGTGGTACTCTACCACTTGAACCATACCTTTAGCCCAACTTTTTGCTTGTTATTTTGAAAAAAAAAAGGTATAGCAAATTTTTCTGCCCACACTGGCCACAAACCTTGATCCTCCAGATCTCACTCTCCTGAAAAGCTAGCATTACAGTGAGAGCCACCAGTGCCTAGCCTAAAACTGATTTTTTAACATAAAAGATTCTTTTCATGAAATCCCCTACATTTCATATATATATAATCAGAGATTTTTAGAATATTTAAAATATTTTTAGAAGCCAGGTGCCAGTGACTCATGCCTATATTCCTAGCTACTCATGAGGCTGAGATTTGAGGATCACAGTTCAAAGTCAGTCCAGGCAGGAGAGTCCATGAGATTCTTATTTCTAATTAACCACCAGAACACCAAAAATAGCACTGTGGCTGAG